TGTTTCTAATTCACCGGTGGATTTATGTAACCGAGTCTTTTCAAAGGCAGCTACACCAATGAGTCATGTCAATCTGAATACCAATTACATTATGTGTCAGCTTTCATTGAGGTGTGACAATCACAAAAAAAATGGGACTCACAGATGGACAAAGAGGCCAGATAATTGTTCACCGACTTGTTTAGAAACATGGAATGAATCAAAACGTAACACTGCAAATGCAGGAACACTGAGTCCTGTTTTAATCAATCAATAAATGCAAGAAAACAGTGATAAAGACGATAAAGACGTAATATGACACGCAGAGAACGAGTCTTTGTAGACCTCTGCATATTGCAGGCTAAAAGAAGAATAGCATTAACATGGAAAAACAGTGGTAGAGTATTACATGGTGGTTTAATGAAATGGCTCTGGAAAAGATAACATATACACTTAAAGACAAACTAGAATTATTTGACGATATCTGAGGCCTATATATTAATTTTCTTCGGGATAAAGATCTGTCACATATTTTGAGCTCGGCTGGTAAAGAGTTGGCGGTGTCTGTAATTGTGGTCGTTTTTGCAGAAACTGTTCTAGGACAGAATATTTGTGATTAACAAATCATCTATGGCAATGTACTCCCTTTGGTTATTTTTATTTAATACGGACAGTAATAATTTAACAACATTTTGTAATTAAAGTTTTTTTTATTTTGTATTTTAATATTTTACTTTTTTCCCCCCTTATTTTATAAATGTGTATATCTTTTTATTTTTATTTTTCCCTAGAATTTATTTAATTGTAATTGTGTGTCTTGAAAAAATGTTTAAAACTCAACAAACATTATTATTAAAAAAAAAAAATGACATAAAATTCCCAGAGCAAGAGAAGACAGCAATTTCAGATGTACATCTATTTATATATATATATATATGTGTGTGTGTGTGTGTCAAAAACTGTATTAATTTGAAAGCTTGTTTTTAGGTTTTTCTGTAATTGCGTCCTCTTGTCTCTGTGTTGAAGGCTAGTTGTTATTACAAACATGTTTTTATAAAAACTACAGGTAGGCACTGACAGGCCATTCATCCTCTAGCTTTACCCTTCAGTCCATCTCTTCATCCGTGTGTGGATCAATAATTATGCATGTGAGGGCCGTTTTCAGTGTTTAGGTTGCCATAGAAACGGATGCTGACCTGCTATAGTGTCCGTACATTCTATACATATCCCGTCCATCCATCCAGTGCTGCCTCCGGCTGCACAATACAAGTCCTCCACCTGTCAATCACAACAGGACTTCGATTACACAACACACAGCGTGGAGATTATCTCCATGAATCCTTTAATCTCGTTCCTGCTTGTCTGCGTCAAATGTCACAAGAGACGCTCACAGATGTTTGTGGGAGATGGAGAGAGACTGAATACTGTCTTTAGATAAATGTGTAGGTAGACGGATCTGCTGTTGTGTAAGGCTGTTGTTCTGTGCATACAAATAAAACATCTTCACATGCAGCTCTTTGGAACTGCAGCCCTTCTCTAAGTATTACATTGGGATGCACTTTTTGTGTTCTCCTACATTTTTGCTCTTCTTGCATTCTCCACAATCATAGAAAACATTATTTTTTTATATCATATGTTGTAAAAAAAGCTTCAGCTGTCATGCTTTACCTCATTGTTACAAACCAAGATGAAAACATGTTTGCTTAGTTTCCTCGTCTTAGCAGATCCTCAGCTGGGATTCAGTCATGGAGCAACACTAAAACTTTAATGCTCCTCAGTGATATGCTCCTATTTTTTTTTTGGCATTATTATCTGAAATGTATCAAAGGGTAACAGTTATTGTGATTGGGTATCCGACAAAGGCTTCTCACTTGTCTTGTTTGGATGATTTTATGGATTTCAAAGCCGTGGATATACCATAAACCACTAATGTTTTGTTGGGTGGTTTCTGAGCCTGTCCTTCCTCTTAAGGTAAACCTTTGGGTGCGAACGAGAAAAAGAAAATAGACATAAAGGGGGAAATTCCGGTATTTTAAACCTGGGCCTGATTGTGACATATTCTGGGGTCTAAATGACTGAAAGGTACAAAATATTTTTAAGATCTTCATCAGATTGATCAGAGGGCAGAATGGGCTTTAAGACCTGCAATGTTGTCTTTGCAAGTAATCGCACCAAATCAAAGTACAAGTCAACTAATAATGGTTGTTTTATGGTTAAGGCTCTAAAATGTCCTCATGTGATGCTGGTTCTCTCTCAGCCTGTGAAATGGATTTAACCTCCTGATTTCTGTCTCCACAGGGAAATGATTTGAGAAAGATCCTCCTCACACGCTACTATGGAAATCAAAAGCTTCTCTCCAAGTCGGAGCTCGGGAGTGGAAACAGCTCATCTGGCGGCTTTGTCAAGCCTTCATCCGGAGGTACAGAGAACCCCAAATAAAACCCAGTAGACACCACGATAACCTGCTCGCTGCAGAGCAAACAAACAGTGCTAAACTTGACAGCATTCTTCTTCTTAGGAGAAGCGCTGTTTGACAAATTCTGGCAGACTTTAGACTTTTGCTTCAGTCATTCCTGAAGAAATGCATAAACAACACTTTTTCAGAAACCGTCATGAAATCTCGTTAGATAACCATCAAAAATGATAAATGCTGTGTATAGGCAAATTGTTGATCTAAAAAAAAAAAAAAAAAGGGTTTAATGCTTTTAAAAAAAATCTTTTAATAGGAGGTTCCCCCATGCTGGACTCTGACAAACCCTGCAGCAGTGTGATGGAGATTCAGTGTCTCCTGGACAACGTCGGCACATCAGAGCTCGTGATCGACCTCATCGTCAACACAAAGAACGACCGAGTGTTCGAGGAGAGCATCCTATTGGGCATCGCGCTTCTGCAGGGCGGAAACACACAGATACAGGTGGGCAAACCCAGAATGCTGAAAGCCCGTGCACATTGATCAGCTAAAAAACGAACACACTTTCAAACATTCAGATTCACATTGTAAGGCAAGGCAACATTTCAACAACAAGGCAATTCAAAGTTCTTCACAGAAGACATGAAAAGCATCATGACAGAGGAAAGAAAAGAAACATTCAAATAGAACATTTAAAAATCACTGAAATTATTAAATCTGAAAAGATGTTCAAATAAAAATAATTCAAATGAAATTAATTTAAATAAAAAAATAAAAGTAAAGAAATTAAAAATAATAATAATAATAATAATAATTACAGTGCAGAGTTAAAATTTTAAAATTGTTTAATGAAAGGCAGCTGTAAACAGGTGAGTCTTCAACCTGGATTTAAAAGAGCTGAGAGTTTCAGCAGACCTGCAGTTTTCTGGGAGTTTGTTCCAGATATAAGGAGCATAGAAACTGAACGCTGCTTCTCCGTGTTTGGTTCTGACTCTGGGGACAGAGAGCAGACCTGTCCCAGACCACCTGAGCGGTCTGGATGGTTCAGAATTAATCAGAAGGTCACTGATGTATTTGTGTATGATGATGATTTCTCTGCCCTCCTGCACAGAACTCCTTCTACAGCCAGCTGTACAAGCAGAAGAAGTCCGAGGGGTTCTTCAAGGTTTTCTACGACCGCATGCGTCTCGCACAGCAGGAGATCCGAGCCACCGTGTCCGTCAACATGTTCGAGCTGAGCTGCAGGAAAAGGGACGACGATGGCGACGTCAGCGGCGTCCGGTTCAAGAAAGGTGAAGGTCGAGTAACGATGCATTTTGACCTTTTCTGCACTAAGTATAATCTGCGATCTGTTGACTGCCTGCTTTTTATCTTTTTATTTCTCCTGCTTTTACTGTCCACAATCTTTTATTGTTATATTATTTAAGATTATAATTGTTTAATAATTGTTTTATATTACCTGTCTGCACTTTATCTTGCTCTATGGACAGCTCTGGTAATATTATTTTTACCTGACTGTGCATAGTTTTATCATGTGGTGTTTAAGCACTTTGTTACTGTGTTTAGAAAGGTGCTTTAATTTCAAATGTATTATTATTTATAAAAACAAACGCCTACCAGAGTGTGGGAAATACACATTTACACCTCTGCTATCAGGGCTATAGATATAGATATTGATAAAGATTTATATATATATATATACTGTATAAACCTGACAACCCTCAATGCTCTTTTAAACAATAGTGGAGGATAAATCCAGGACTACCTTTGTTGCTCTGCTGACCTCTGTGCAGACTGTTGTTCTCAGTTCCTGCAGTCACATGTCAGAGGGCATGTGAGGGCCCACATCACAAGCTTATCAAAAGACCATTGTATTTATATCAGGTGCTTCCAATGCTGCAGAACCCCACTCAGTAGTTTCCCACTTAGAGAAGTTGAATTTGTTTTTATACATATTACCTGAAAAGCTAACCTGCTACTCGTATCATGCATACCTGTTTTTCCCCATGCATTGACAAATATCCATTATTGTATCCATCATGATGCAGTTAAAATAAAACTGCATTTGTTTGTACACCTCTACTCTAGGAAAAGACTCGGGGCTTCACATAAGGGAGGACATGCGTGGGCAGCTGAAAGAGGCCTCATCGGTGACCTCAAAGGCCTTCTGCGCCTTCAGAAGGGAGCTGGATCCAGACCTGGAAGGCCTCGGCCAGAACAGCGAGTTAATTGGGGCTGACGAGGCTCCGGAGGAAACACAAATGAGCCCGGCCATCACCATCATGAAACCGATCCTGCGTTACCTGCAGCTGCTCTGTGAGAACCACAATTCAGACCTGCAGGTACGGGGGAGCCCTCATGTTTTTAGAACGAGGATGTTGAACGCCATTCTGAACCACTGTTAACCTTAAGTCTGTGTTTTTTTTCTGCTTTGAATCCAGAACTTTCTGCGCAACCAGAACAACAAGACAAACTACAATCTGGTGTGTGAGACTCTTCAGTTCCTGGACTGTATCTGCGGGAGCACCACCGGAGGTCTCGGGCTGCTCGGCCTTTATATCAATGAGAGCAATGTGGACCTGGTGCGCCAAACCCTGGAGACCATCACAGAGTACTGCCAGGGACCCTGCCATGAAAACCAGGTAGAGAGACGATGCTAGGTTTAGTCAGGTGATGAGCAAAGAAGGGTTTATGTGAAGGTGAATGGTCTCATCATCCCGTTCAAAGACTGAGATTTTTTTGCCATTTATCGATAATTTAGCCTTTATTTTGTATTTTACTCGACTAAAAGAACATAGAATAGAATAGAATAGAATGACTTTATTGATCCCAAACTGGTAAATTGTGATATTACAGCAGCAGGTTATCAGAGCAAATAAAACAATATAAGAATAGATATATAAATAAGCACTTAGAATATAAAAAATAAGAATAGGAAGAGATTTATACATCAAGGCTTTAACTTAACATTCCTACTGGTTTAAAAAAAAAAAATGAAATACAACATTTATTCAGGCTTGTCAACTGAATGTAAAAATACTTTCTGGAGGTGAGAGATGTAAGTTTGTAGAAACAGTGATGACAGTGGTAAATGTGTAATAACAATATAGAGGGTTATCCAGAGCTGTGTAATCAAAGATATATATGTTAATTATATAAAGTGCAGGAGTGTAGATACGTTATCAATTGAAATGATTCACTATAATGATGAGCAGTCAATGTCGTTAACTTAAATGTAAGGATAGTGTGTCAATTGTACAATTTTACAGTCAGCATACAACATAGAAAACATTTTTTAATGTAGGTTTTATTCATAAATACACAGAAAGAAAAAATGAAATGACATAAACCTACCCAACCACAAAAAAGGGTGGGGGGGGTTAGTGCGTATTTCCTGCGTATTTTAGGTAAAGTTAATCCAACATGTGATTAGACAGTCGACTAAGTCTGTCTTTAGGGTAAATCTTGTTTATTGTTTTGTTTATTGGATTTCATCTTTTTTCACATTTATCAATTTGTCTGTGTCTAAAATATCTTCTGTTGTTGTTAACCATAAAAAAATACATTTACATACCAATAGGCAAACTCTGCTGTTGAAAAATGAAGCTAAGTGCACACTGCAGTTCCATGAGTGTCCACTTGAGGCTGGCTCCAAACACCCTTAGGTCCCACACACACACACCATATTGATATGTCTGTTTTGACAGCAGGCTAAACATGATGCAGCTTGATACAAAAGAAAACATTTTGGTCTGATTAGTTGATGTCACAGTTCTAATCCAGTAAATTGAAAAACCAAACATCAATCATATTTGAACACCACTATATTGTCCAGTGATCCCCAAATAGAAAAAGCTTATTTTATTGTGCTTTATTAATATCTGTCCTCTGGATGTTTTTTCCTCATCTTCTTCTTCTTCTGATGAATTTTGCCTTTTGTCTTCCATTTTTTTTCCAGACGTGTATAGCCAAGCATGAGTCAAACGGCATTGACATTATCATAGCTCTGATTGTCAACTCCATCAACCCCCTGGAGAAGCATCGTCTGGACCTGGTGCTGCAGCTCAAGGTGAGCAGCAGACGTCTCTGAGAAGCTGGTTATTATGACACACAGAACAATAACAACCAAACTATGGCTCTCTTTATAGCAGTAATAAACCGTAAGCCTAGGGACCAGGAAGATCATTAAAAAAAACATTAAGCAATTCTGCAATGTGTTAAAGAGCAGTGTTTCAGCTCATGTAACAGGCCGTGCTAATTGACTTCAAATTAAACCTTAAAAGTCTTCATAGAATTACAACATGTACATTTTTAATGTGCTTAAAAGTAAAAGTAATTACTTCACGGATTTACATGTTCTGAGGCTGCTAATGGTGTAGAAAGTCATTGTTGAAGCCTTTTGTTGTAGAACAATGCCTCCAAGCTCCTATTGGCCATCATGGAGAGTCGCCATGACAGCGAGAACGCAGAGAAGATCCTGTACAAGATGAGACCCACCGAACTGGTAAGTGTGGGTCATCGTGTTTTACCATGATATGCAAACTACAAGAGAATCATTCCTAACTTTTCCTAACTTCCTGCGCCAGGTGGATGTGATGAAGGAAGCCTACGCTCAGAGTCTGGAGAGCGAGGAGGACGAGGACGGTGCTGGAGACCAGATCAAGCCCAGAGACGTCGGACACAACATTTACATCCTGGCCCATCAAGTAATCAAAATACCTCGACTTTGTTTTTGTCTGTGGCAGAGGAGTCACTGAATGTCCTCCCTCTCTCCGCCTGTCTGACTTTCTGTCGACCTCAGAGCCCCTGCACTGCACTTCTTTGTGTGTGCATGACCACATGTGTGCTCCTATTGTCTTGTCTCCTGAGCTGAACGCATCGCTCTGCCAACTTCTAAAATTAGCTTTCAGGATGTGACACTGGTTCTGCAGACGGAGGTGTTCACTGCAGCAGGCAGTTAGTCCCTGTATCACTTCAACAGAAATGAAATGAGAGTGTCACTGAGGAAGTTGTCTCTGCCTTTCCCCTGTAGGGTCTGTTAGTTTGAGAGGTCACCGTGTCTGGAGAGTTTTCACTTCTGCATCTAAAAGCTAAAAAGTGTCAAACTGGGTAGTTTCATTCTGTAATGGACAAGGTTTTGTTTTTCAATTATTTTATTTTAGTTCATTTTACCCCAAACAATAGACACATTGCAGACAAGACAGTACCAGCAGCAGTAACAATAATAATAATAATAATAATAATAATAATACTGAGCTAATGATGAAAGAAAAACTAAAATAAAAAAAACATTCACACACAAAAATAACAATTTAATAAAACAAAAAAAACACAAACAAACACGCACAAAAAAAACCAGGACATGGTAACTGACCCACATATCTGAGACAAACTGACTCAGATATGAGCTTCTTAAATATGTTTTAAAAGACATTATCTCGTCTTTTCTCCTCAGGAACAGTGAAGAATACCTACTCTACTTCTATGTAAAGCTCCTTTCCGTTTTTGTAAAGCCGTTGAACTTACAGAAGTTAAATGTCTTTTAGGGATGACCCTTATGAGACACAGCTCACTACATTTAACTGTAAACAACCTCCTCCTGTTACTGTTTCACTTTCATTCAATTCCTTCTGTAGCACATCGGCACATTCTGTTTATCAGCCAAACTTTTCTCACCTGCAATGAAAGCTCAGAAAAAAGGATGTAAAAAGGCAATATTTGACACCAAAAAAGTCTCAACTGTACAGACAAATACGGTTAGGGAATAGCTTGTGAACATCGTGTAGAAGAGATAGATATGTTGCCAATGTTTATTTATGTTTCTGTTCTTGTCCAGTGACCATGAAAAATCAGTTAGTTGTTCCACAGAGCAGGAGAAAAACCTTCGGTGATGCTGCTTTCAGCTGTTCCGCTCCGAGACTGTGGAACGACCTTCCTGAGAGTCTGAGAGGAGCCCAGAATATGGAGATTTTTAAATGCAGTCTGAAAACTCATTTATTCAGTCTGGCTTTTATATAGTGCTTTATATCAATTCAAATCTTAACATTATTGTTTTGTCTTTTTTATCCTACTACAATTTTAAATATTCTTCTCCTATGTATTAATTTTAATGTCTTATTGCTTTTATGTGTCGTATTTAATTTTTTCATTTTTATATATATATTCTTTTTTAATTCTTATTGGTGTGCATCAGTTTTTCGTCAATAACTTTTCTGCACTCTTGTAAAGCTCTTTGAACTGCAGTTTAATTTGTCTGAAAGGTGCTGTATAAATAAAGTTTGATTGATTGATTGACTGCAGGTTTAGTCTTTGAATATTCCCATGCTCTATAACACAGAGCTTGGTAGAATGGCACCATGAACTTCTGTGGCGTTATGTAAGGGATGCACAGTAACATCATGGTTTTCATTTAAAAGCTTGTTGATCCTTTATTCACTCTTGGATTGACAGTGAGGTCTTTCATGTTTCCTTCTGAAGTGACATCTTCAGGTGAAAACTTAAATGAATGAGTCATTTCTTTTCTTTTTTTTCCAATCCCAGCTGGCACGGCACAATAAGATCCTGCAGCAGAGCCTGAGGCCGGGGTCTGTGTTGGGAACCGTGTGTGTGGTCGACCCCGACAGTGAAAAGGACGACGCCCTTCATCACTATGCCAACCACACAGCCCAGATAGAGGTAACACCTTCACTTCATCACTTCCTCCTCTGAATCTCTGTGAAATACATTTTAACAAGCAAATCACACTTTTCCTTTTTTTTTTTTATTCATAAGGATTTAACAGATATCTTCTCCCCAGATTGTGCGTCATGACCGCACCATGGAGCAGATCGTGTTTCCGGTCCCTAACATCTGCGAGTACCTCACAGAGGAGTCCAAGGTGCGAGTGTTCACCACCACCGAGAGAGACGACCAGGGCAGCAAGGTGAACGACTTCTTCCAGCAGTTTGACAACCTGTACAACGAGATGAGGTGGCAGAAGAAGATCCGCAGTAAGCCTTAATGAATAATAATGATGGTGTGATTATCATCCACACTGTCTGCTTAGAGTTAGTCCAGAATAAACTGAAGCGCCTGCAGCCAGTGTTGTGTGTGTGTGTGTGTGAGTGTGTGTGCTCATGCTGTCTGTGTGTGTTTGTGCAGAGAATAAGGCTCTGTTCTGGTTCTCGAGACACATCTCTCTGTGGGGGAGCATCTCCTTCTACCTGGCCTGTCTGGTCAACATCGCCGTGGCTGTGTTCTACCCCTTTGGTGACGATGGAGATGAAGGTGAGAATCATCTACAACTTCAGCTGGTCTGTTTTATAGTTGCAGATAATATCTCAAATAGATGTGTTGTTTTTTGTTGTTTTTGTTGTTATTTTACTTTTCAGAGCAATACATGGACCTCCCCCTTACCGGTATTTATTCAACCTCCTAATAATCAGTACAACCATGTGGCTGTTGACTGCTTGATGTTCATAGGTGTTGGAAGCTATTGATGCTGAATAGAGATCTAATATTGTACTAAAAAGAACTACATATATGACCCACTGTCTGTATTGACAGTGGGTCATATATGTAGTAGAAATGTGCAGCCTGTTAGCTTAGCTTCCAAGCAATATGGCGGACGTT